CGAAAGATGTCAATAGTGCAGAGGGTGAGAAACTCTGCTGTCATCACTCTCTATCCCTCACTTAATTTTTTTTTTAGGTAAAATTTGAATGTATTTGAATGTACAATTCTTACTGTTTAATTCTGACAAATGGATTTAGCTTTCTAATGCACACCCTCTCCTAAGTTTCTGTATATAACTTTTATCAGATTCAATCGTCTTCTATTCTACTTTGCTGAGTTGATGGTGATGTTTTTAAGTCTATTGCTTATGGGGGCGCCTGGGTGGCTCAGTCGGTTAAGTGTCTACCTTTGGCTCAGGTCATGATTCCAGGGTCCTGGGATCGAGCCCCAAGTCAGGCTTCCTAATCAGTGGGGAGCTTGCTTCTCCCTCTCCTCCCTGCTTGTGCACTCTCTTGCTACCTCTGTCGCTCTCCTTCTCAAATAAATAAACAAAATATTCAAAAAAAATAAACCTATTGGGGATCCCTGGGTGGCTCAGCAGTTTAGCACTTGTCTTCAGCCCAGGGCGTGATCCCGGAGTCCCGGGATCAAGTCCCACATCAGGCTCTCTGCATGGAGCCTGCTTCTCCCTCTGCTTGTGTCTCTGCCTCTCTCTCACTCTCACTCTAATTCTCTCTCTCTCTCTCATGAATAAATAAAATCTTTAAAAAAACTATTGCTTATGGGTATTACACTGTTATCAATCCACTTGCTTTTTATTTATTTATTTATTTTTTGCTTTTTAAATTAAAAAAAAATTTTTTGCTTTTTAAAACTGTTTTTTGCTTTTTTTACTTTTTTCTTTTTTTTTTTTGTTTTGCTTGCTTTTTTTTTTTTTCTAAAGGGGTAGGTAAAAACACATGGCCACACTTAGGAGATCTACTGAGAACTGTGCCCAAGAATAACCATCTTATTTTCCTTGGTGTTGGGCTTAAAAAAAAAATCTAAATTTTGCCTTAAATATTTTTTCCATATGGTTTTGAATTACGTGAATTTTTAAAGTCAATATGGTCACAATGTAGTGTGTGAATATATATATATATATATATATATATATATATATATATATATATATATGACGGAATATTACTCAGTCTTAACAAGGAAAGAAATTTTGAAAAATGGATAAACCCTGAAGATATACTAAATGAAATAAACCAGACACAAAAGGACAGATACTGTACCATTCTACTCATATGAGGTATGTAGAACAGTCATATCCATAGGGATAGGAAGTAGAATGGTGGCAGCCAGGAGGGAATGGGAAGTTACTGTTTAATGGGGAATGGAGTTTCAGTTTAAGAAGATGAAAAGGTCTAGTGGATGGTTACACAACAATGTGAATATACTTAATACTACTGTGCACTTAAAAATGGTTAAAATGTTCAATTTTATATGTTTTATCACAATGAAAACAAGGTCGATATGTATATAAAGATAATATAAAAGAAACTAACTTCACAGGTGATTTATTGCTCAATATATTTTAGAGTCCATAAATGACAGATTTAGAAGGGGCAAGTGAGAGTCTGATTCAGTGCTCTCTTTATGTATGAGGAAACCGAACCCAGAGTAGGGAAGCAATGGCTCATGATCACAGGGATCATTAACAGCAGAGTGACGACTGGACCCCAAGTCTCAGGGTCCTTTTTCCCACACCATATTGTGCTGCTTTCTCCATGGTAAATTTGTGCAAATGGATTCTATTTCTACTGTGTGCTCAGTCACAGATACCATCACCATAAGACTAATTAATGACCCTGCAAATCCCCTAAGATTCTCTGAAAGATCACTATCTAGGAAGAAGCATTATAAATATCAGTATGGTTCAGTTCCATGTGCCCTTGCAATTGCTCAAGAGGACTCTGGGGCCCACAGATAAATAATTCACTTTGTAGTAATCAGGAAGAGAATAAATCAGGAAGAGAATAAAGAGCAGGAAAATGTCTCCTTTCCCATTTTCTGCGCAAGTGCTGGAGATAATCTAAATTTAGGATCTAGTGCCTTTGTGATCAAGCAAAGGCAGCTGAGATTAGGCTAAATCTTAGTTTCAATTCCACAGCTTTTGTTCAAAGTCAGATTAGAGGTGCTACAAGACCTGAATCAGAATCTGTTGCAGTCCTTGTTAATTAACTGATTCCTATGGTTCTGCTGCCCGAGTAATCATGTCTACAGCTATATGACTGCTTGGGTTTCTAAGCCCAGATACTTGGGGCAAGCCATGTACCTGGCCAAACCTGAACTTCATGTAGGAATCCATCAAGGGTCACACTGCCCTTCAGTTCCTACCCATATACTCTTCCAGGCTGGGCTCCCCTATTACCCACTCCCATTTGCCTGGTGAACAAAGTAAAATCCCAGCTTCACAGATGGTTTTCTCATCCACATCTCAAAGCAGAAGTTAATACTGGCCAAACTGGTATTTTTCTGAAAATATGTGCTTTGACTCCAAGCTGATTATTTTAACATTCTTTTGAAGAAGAGAAAATCTGAGGAACATAGATATGGTATCGGATTTATGTGACAATATGAAAATATCATGGTTATTAGGCACTAAATCAGCTAGCATGGCCCAGGCAAAGCTGCAAACTCATGAAAATATGTTCCCAAAGAGTCAACACTATTATGTTCCAGTGGCTTCTGCCTGGAGACAGAAAGTTAGTAACTCATAACTCTAAAGCTTCTCTTAGATACACAAATCATTACTCCACATCCTCTCTGATTATGCACAACAGCGAAGTAAACAGAATAAATTCCCAGTGAAAGTGTGCTAATGAAACTGGAGACATGCCGGGGCATTATTCTGCTGTTTCCAATGGAGAGAATTAATTCTATGCTTACAGCATTCAAGAGGCAAGAATTTCAAAACACTGAAACTCTACAGTCAGACACAGTTGGTCAGTGTCTGTCTGAATCCAGGCAACCTCCCAGGAAGTTTTCTGAGACAATACTTTTGACTGGCTTTTAAAGTTGGTCATCCAGACAGCCTGCAGCAATTAGCAACTAGATGTCATACCAGGTAAGATGGTTATTGAAAGCAGAAACAAAGTTATGTTCTTGGTCTGAGCAAGCCTAAAATTAGTAAGAGCTGGCATTTGTTGAGGGCTTAGTATGTGCCAGATGTTGCATCCAGCACTTTACGTGCACTATCTTGTTTAATCCTCACGACTACTCTGTAAGGTGGTACCATGATTATTCCCATTTTATAGATGAGGAAACTAATGTGCTGGGAGGTTTGTCAAAGGACAAACAGTTGTTATGTTGCAGAGGTAGAATTCAGTGGCAGACCTTCATGAACCTGGACCCCAGGATCTTCATGCTCACACCATACTGCTTTTTCATAAGCTAGGAAGGTGAGAGCCTTACAAAAAGCCTGTAAGACAGTGTGCATGTATCAGATTCAAGAGATTCCTGATATTCACAGCTATTACATGTCCAGCTTTGATACTTCGCGAGAGATCCATGATGCCCTGGGGCACATGCTCACTTGCCATCTTCCTGAGGTGTGACTCAGCTCAGCAAAGCTGAGGGCCCAGGGTGAGGGCAAGTTACTGAGCTGGGAAAGAGTGGAGCCTCTGCCAAGTCAACTAATTTGGTGGAAGAGCAAGACTTATGGAAATGTCTTGTATTATGTAAACTTGCTTTAAAATGTGGTTGGGAGTTCTTTCAAATATAAAAAGTAATTGGAACAGGTTAAATGTTGCTACATACAGGTCTAGGGAGGATTTATTTTAATGAATATAGAAGAATCATTTATGATCAGTACATGAATAGCTTGTATCTAAACAGGTATTTGTCAAGAATTGGGGGCTATTTTGTTTTGTTTTGTTTTTAAAGTAGCTTAAAATGTTCTCCAAATTCAAGCTGCTCAAATTTCAGAAAGTCTGAATAGGTGGTAGTTGAAAAGAGGTGACTCTGCTGTAGCATATAACTCAACTCATCAGTGCTGAGGTGACACAACCTGTGAGGAGCTATCTTGAAGCACAGCATTCAAGTGAACGGAGTGGGGCTGATCAAGGAAGGCTTCTTGGGAGGAGGTGAACAGTTCTCGGTACCAAAAAGATAAGCCTTTCTTTGCTTGCTACTCTGACGTGTTATCTGGCCAGCCACTATAGAATCCAAAACAATCCAGAGGAGCCTTTGCTGCTCCCTCTGCCTGGCTTTTTTTCTCCTAGTTCTTCTCAAGAGCCAGCTCTCAGAGGAGCCTTCTCAGAGCAACCAATCTAAACTTATTTCTCCTACATGCTCCTAAGATATTCTCTCACAGATCCTAGCTTTATACTTTTTTTTTTTTTATGATAGGCACACAGTGAGAGAGAGAGAGAGAGAGAGAGAGAGGCAGAGACACAGGCAGAGGGAGAAGCAGGCTCCATGCACCAGGAGCCCGACGTGGGATTCGATCCCGGTCTCCAGGATCGCGCCCTGGGCCAAAGGCAGGCGCCAAACCGCTGTGCCACCCAGGGATCCCCTAGCTTTATACTTTTAACATAAGTTAAATCTTCTCAGGATGCCTGGGTGGCACAGCGGTTAGGTGTCTGCCTTTGGCCAAACATGTGATCCTGGAGACCTGGGATTGAGTCCCACATCCAGCTCCCTGCATGGAGCCTGCTTCTCTCTCTGCCTATGTCTCTGCCTCTCTCTCTCTCTCTCTCTCTCTCTGTGTCTCTCATGAATAAATAAATACAATCTTAAAAACAAACAAACCAAAACTATCTTCTCATTTGTTAACTCACATCTTACCTTCTCTTCTTACTTGGATGTGAGCACCACGAAGAAGAGATCTTTTCTGTCTTGTTCACTGTGGTACAACCTGCACCCAGCGGAATGCCTGGGTTACTTAGCAGGTGCAACAATAATGTTTTAAATAAGTGGATGAATTAAGCTGCCAGGTCATCCTCCTGTCCCCAGACAGGGGAAATCAGCAATTTTATTTCTCCAGAGTAAATCCCTACTGGAAAGGTTTGTGTATGACTTATGACAAAAGCTGTAAGAAAAAGGCCCTGTACCAATTTACCTCACCTGTTCTGCTCCCACCATGCTAATTGGCTTGCACTTGAAGAGGTGGGTGATGAACTTGGGAATGAAGGAGCTGTGGATAAAAAAAGAAGGCAAATTAGGCTTATTCTCTCTCTTTAAAGATTTTATTTATTTATTTATCTATTTATCTATTTATCTATCTATCTATCTATCTATCTATCTATTTATTTATTTATTTATTTATAGAGATAGCATGTACAACGGGGAAAGGAGCAGAGGGATAGGGACAAGCCAACTCTATGCTGAGGGCAGAGCACAACATGGGACTCAATCTCAGGACCATGAGATCATTACCTGAGTTGAAATCAAGAGTCAGACACTTAACTGACTGAGTGAGCCACCCAGGCACCCAGGCTTATTCTCTCTTTGGTAAAGAACTGCAGAAACTTTTTTGAGGCTGCACTTCTTTCTATAAGAAAGCTGAGAAATGGAGGTAGACACTACTGTGGCCTCCCAGCATCCATTGTTTTCTTTCTTTGCAGCCAAAACTTTGGTTTTATTTAGGTATATGTGGTTTTTGGATGCTGGGGAAAAGTTGTTCTCTACTAAACTGCAGACGTAAATTCTAATTAGCCTCAGCCAGTCAGAACATGGCATTTCTTGTTGACTATTGTGGGTCCTGAGGTGGGGACATGATCTAAGCCAGCCAATCAGATTGAAGGAATGGACTTCACTGAGTGGCGGGGAAGACTTTCTCTCCTTCTTCAGGATATTCTTATGTTTGGATAGAGCATCTAGAGCTGACATTTTACCACCATACTAAGGATGAAGTCAGCCTCAAGGAGAGCAGGGTAGAGTAAGGAACGTGGGTCCTTAATGACATTGCTGAACCACTGAATCAACCAAAAGATGGTTGTGTCCTACCTGGGACCTTCTGGTTATACAAGATACAAACTTAATCTTATGTTTAAGTGAGTTTAAGTAAGGGCTTCTATTACTAACAGCTGAAAACACCCTAATAGATATGACAGTGAGATAGCTAGAGGATGTTAAACGCAAAGATAGAAACTAATTACTGAGGCAGTAACTGTCAGAACAAGGGGGAAAAAAATACATGATCTCTGAAAAATTTACTGAGGATAAAAGGCAAGCAAATTTGAAAAAGGGAGAATAATTTTATATTTTTACTTTTTTATTTTAAAAAGATTTTATTTATTCACTTGAAAGAGTGAGTATGAATGGAGGGGAGAAGCAGAAAGAGAAGCAGACTCCATACTAAGCAGGAAGCCCAACTTGGGGCTACATCCCAGGACCCTGGGATCATGACCCAAGCCAACAGCAGATACTTAACCAACTGAGCCACCCAGGCACTCCAGGAGAATAATTTTAATAGACCAGGAGGGCTTTTTAGAAAAAACTGCAGGGCCTGAATAGGGAAAGCTGAGTTGTACAGGTGCAGAATGGAAGGTGTGGGAGAGAAATGCCTATAATCAGGGCTAGGCCCAGAGTGGACTGACCAGGAGAGCATAGGGTCCATGAACAAGGAAGGAAGGATAATAAAACAGGATCTGGAAGTCAAGATAAAAAGGCTGGCTAGCACCCTCCTCTCCCACTCTTCAAAAGCTGCTCTCAGGGCCATGACTTCACTTTCTCCAATCCCTCTACACATTCGTGCCTGCTCAAATACTCAAAGAAGGACCAGACACCTCAGACACCTCACTGGAATAGCACTGGCACCTCAGCTCTAGTATATCCAGGACTCAGCCCCACCCTAGAATGCAGGCTCAGTGGACCCGATCTCGTCTATCCAGTCATCCAAGCCAGAAACCAGGAGTTTGCCGAGACTGCTCCCTTGGCCTTCCACCCCAACATCCAATCAGTTCTCAGCCCTTCCCCTGAACTCCCTTACCCCATCTCCTGATCAAGCCTACCACAGCTGCTTCAATTGTTTCCTAACTGGTCTTACTGTCTTCAGCCTCCTCTTTTCTAACTATCAGCTGCCAAAGGTATTTATTGCAGATGCAAATATGCTCAAGACCTTCCCTGATTTAAAATTCTTGTAATGGCTGCAGACAAGGCCTTCCTTGATTGTCTTATTTTCCATCCTTAGCCTTAGCATGCTAAGCTGTGGCACCCTATGCTTGATTCTGCCAGCTACGTAACACCTCTATGCCTTTGCTTACACTGCTCCCTGTGTGCAGAATGCCCTTCATTATGGCCTTGTGGATCAGTAGACACACATCTCTTGCACCCCGCTCAAGGACCTCTCTCCTTATGAAGCCTTTCCTCAGTCACCTCTACTATACTCTACATAGAGTCGACCTCCAGCCTAGCATGTAACTTCTTTTCTGTACCTATTTGCTTGTGTGTTTATTTCCCTTTACCTGATTTTAAGGCAAATGAGAACAGGGACCATATCTAGTAAGCCAAAGCATTTAATTCTGTGTCTGGAACATAGCAGGTGTTCAAATGGCTGCATGTTGAATAAAGAATAAAGAGTAACAAACTAAAATGGTAGCAGTTGCCACTTTTTGAATGTCAGCTTGGTACCAGCACTTTACCAGGAAGTTTATACGTGACTTTTCATTTTTATCTTCAAAACCACTATTAAGAGATTTGTCTTATTATCCCCATTACTGAATGGAAGAGAATCAGCTTAGTAGATGAGGGAGGCTGCTTATGGTTCAAATAGCAGGGTTTGTTTTAAAATATTTATTTATTCATTTGAGACGTGGAGAGGGGCAGAGGGAGCCAGAGAGAGAGAATCTCAAGTGGACTCCCCACTGAGTGCAGAGTCCAACTAGACTCCCATAACTTTGAGATCATGACCTGACTGCAACCAAGAGTCAGACACTCAATCAACTGAGCCACCCAGGCATCCCTCAAATAGTAGTTGTTTTTTTAAGATTTTATTTATTTATTTTTTTATCTATTTATTTATTGAGAGGGGGGAGAGAGAGAGAGAGAGAGAGAGAGAGAGAGGCAGAGACACAAGCAGGCTCCATGCAGGGAGCCCAATGTGGGACTCGATCCTGGGACTCCAGGATCACGCCCTGGGCCGAAGGCAGGCGCTAAACTGCTGAGCCACGTGGGCTGCCCTCAAATAGTAGTTTTAATCAAGGGTGATCTTGATGTCAAAATAGGAAATACTGTTGTGCTTCAGAGACCAGATGGAGGCAAAAGGAAACATCCATGGCTTTGCATTGGTGAGATAAGAAAGGAAGTTAAAGGGAAAGAAACATAAAACTCCAGAGATCAGATCTAGGGGGATGCTTGCTGATCAAGGAGAACAGGGACCATGTAGAAGGGATTCTTCAGGGCTCTAAACCAGAGCCAGGCCAAACAGGTAATGTGAGATTGAATTCATGACTAATTGCAATAGTACATGGAGTTTATAACCTAAGTCACTTCTATCTCAAGTAGGCTTTGGTTGTACCCTTAAACTGGCTCTATGGGCTAGTCTGCAAGAGCGGGGTGAGGAAAATATAGGGACCAGAAACATGTCACAGGCTGGGGGTAGACGGGAGGAGAGAATTCCCGGCAATATGATGGGTAACTGATAGGTAACTGCCCAGGGCTTCTCCAGCCTGTGGGATGGTAGCAACTATTACTCTTGCTGGGGATGGATCTTCCCACAGCACTACCTCTGAGGTTTCTACTCTTGGCTGGGATTTTACAAGGATGAGAGGGTACCATGGATTAAATCAGAAAACCACTTTTTCTATCAGAGGTAAACTTTTCCAGATGTGAGAGATGGGCATCCTATTCCTAGCTCACCCAATATGAGCATAGTAAAAAAATTAAAGGGCTCTGAGAGAATGTGAGGCTGATGCTGGGGCTAGCTAAGCAAATGGACCCTTTACTCACTTTAATATGAGCTCAGTTGGACCTTTGTGCAACCACACTGGAGATTTCTGGCCACAATAAAATTTTACAAAGATACTGTTTTTACCAAAGGTATGGGAGTGTCACAACGTGATTTATCAGCAATGCTTTTAACACACACTGTTAACACACACTGATGAGCACTCAGAGAGTGAAGGGAATGTCAATTCCTGGTTCATCTGCCATATTGCAAACATTAATGCCTCCCTAGAGAGTCCACTTGATCCTTTCTTGACAAACTGGAAACTGAAGCTTATGCCACAAACCCCTCCATAATTGTTGTTCCTTAGGGATTTATTTGTGAGGGAGAGAGAAAGCCTTAATTGAATACAAAACAGGAAAGATTTGGAGAAGACAGAAGCCTGGAGCCCTAAATCCCCCCTTGGGACTTGGATGAGGACAACCTAAATACAGTAGCTTGGAATAGGCTGACCTTCCTGAAGCCCTTCCTTGAGACATGTGCCAAAATGCTTGTTTGCTTGCTGGTCAGAGGAGGCATTGGCCTTCTACATTGCCTGGTCTCAGAGGAAACAGGGCTACAGCCAGATGCTGACTGGCAAAGGACCAAACCATTTCCCCACTTCCAAACTTCAGACCAGTAATGGCCACACATGAGGACATGGCAGGAAGACACGCAGCACAAGTGTTCACTTCATTGCCTTTGGCAATGGAACCCTCTCACTTGCTCTTCCCTGTTTCTAGTACCTTCCCTGGACTCAAGGATATCCAGAAGCAGATAAATTCTGGCAGCCTCAGTAATAAGTACTATGGGGAAGGAGGAAGAGAATGCTTAAAAGAAATAGAACTGAGGGTTCCTACCCTAAAAAAGCTTATCATCTAGTTGAAGAGACAAAATATATACATGAAATCACTAAACAATAATTTTAATTATCTAAACCTGTGGGGAAGCAGGGACACTGTTATGTCCACATAGTTTCCCCAATTCATTTCTGAGTTTGTCTTCATGTGGTTGACTGTATTGCTTTTACTGTTGTCTGTGACTTTAAGTAGTGAATTTAGTTTTATTCTTCTTCTTTGGGGTACAAGAAAATTAGATGGCTATAGGATCAGAATAAGCCCCAGCTAGATGGTGGGACATCTGGATTGGGAACATGCTGGTGGTAAGTATGGCATTCAAAATAACCCAGTGAGGGAATCCCTGGATGGCTCTTTAGCGCCTGCCTTCAGCCCAGGGCGTGGTCCTGGAGACCCGGGATTGAGTCCCACTTTGGGCTCCCTGCATGGAGCCTGCTTCTCCCTCTGCCTATGTCTCTGCCTCTCTCTGTGTGTGTCTCTCATGAATGAATAAATAAAATCTTAAAAAAAAATAATCCAGTGATGAGAATGTTCTAGGGGTACCCGGTGGCTCAGCTTGTCAAAGGTCCAACTCTTGATCTCAGGGTCTTGAGTTCAAAGCCCAGCATGGAGCCTACTAAAAAAAGAAAAAAAAGAAAAAAAAGAAAAAAAAGAAAAAAAAGAATAATGAATGTTCTAGGACTTACTTTGCAAACTTAATGCAGAATTGAGTGAAGTATTTCCGTGTGGAAGCTAGGTTGTCACGGATGATAGGGACATTCTGCTTAATGTGAAGAATGACAGAGGTGACATAAGGGCTCTGGTCACCAACGTGTTCCACATTCTGCCACTGCATCTGAAAATAGGAGACAGGGAGGACAAGCCTTTAGATCTTTCACAGGAGGACAGTCTGACCCATTTCCGGGGAAGAGGCAGGTGGGGTGGCAATGAAGCTAGAGCTTGCTATCACAGCTGCCATTTTATCTTGGGTAGTGTGTCTTACCCAGTCTGTCGTGGCTAGGCATGGATAAAAACAAGTAAGCCCATCTTATCCTGGCCAGTGAGGTGTGACTTCAGTACTTTCTCTAATCTGTCCCCCTCATGCTTGAAATAGCCTTCCCTTCCCATCTAAGTGGCCATCCTATAGAGGAACTCTCACCAGGCAAGTGAACTGGACTGTCCTGAAGCTGTTCCATCAGAGAGGGGCCATGGGAGGACACGAGAGGGGCATTCACTTGTGAGCAGGTTGGTAGCTTGGGAGATTGGAGGTGGTTGGGCTAAATGAAATGAAACCTGGATGAGAGTTACTTAGGTCTTTCTCTCAAGTAAATTGTAAGGAGGGGAGGATTTTGAAAAAAGGGAACTAGACATCAGTGTGAGACTTGCTTCAAAACAATCCAGAGTTTGGAAGAGTAGATGAGAGAAGATTAGTGAAGCTGGGTGATGGGTCCATGAAGTTATTATACTGTTTTCTCTGCTTTTGCACAAAATTGAAATTTTCCATAATAAAGGATTCAAACCTTGCTCCTAAAACCTTTGAGATTCTATTGGGGTTTCAATCAAGGAAAAGGAAAGAAGATCTCGGAATTGAATTCTAAGGGGTGCAGATCAGAGGGCATGAGGAACAGGGCAGGGACTATGGGTGGCAGGCATGGGGCAGACCAGCACCATTAAGAGGACCTGAGTGGTCCTTAACCAGGCCATGAACAAATGAGAGACCTGCTTGCCTCAAGCTCTGACCATCTGCGAATTAGGAGAAGGGCTCTAGGAAATGTCTATGGCAAATCAGGGAAAGAAGCAATGCTGCAGGGCCTCTCCCGCCTTGGATACACACAGAAGAGAGGCAGTGTGGGCTCCCAGCCTGCCCCAAAGCTGCCAGCAAACGGGCACTTTAATGCTGAAAAGAGCAGGAATGTGCTGGAAGACATCTGCTGAGTCAGCCTCTCAGAATGGAGCGCTGGGTTGTCTGTTAAAAAGATCCCAAGCCAAACACAAACCATATAATATGTTCATAGAAGGAGGGCAGTAGTTCTGAGGCCTTGATGTCTCTGGCAAGAAAACACTATTTTTTATGGAGCTCTTGGGGAAAGGAAAAATTCAGTACTGAAGGAACTTGTTTAAAAGAATCATATCATACATGGATGACTCCCCAGCTCCTGGGAAGCTTGAGTGACTCTATGTTTTGCCCTAATGTTTCTTCAAATCAGCAGTAATACTTTTGAAAGCTGTAGGTATGTGTAAGCATATAAAAAAGCAGGAAGGGACTTCCATCTTCATTTTAGAGATAAGAAAACCAATGTCCAGAGATATTAAGTCTTATGCAAGGTTTCATAGCAAAGTACCACATAGAAAAAGTCTCGAAGTTTTTTTATTTTTTAAGATTTTATTTATTTATTCATGAGAGAGAGAGAGAGAGAGAGAGAGAGAGAGAGAGAGAGAGAGAAAGAGAGGCAGAGACACAGGCAGCGGGAGAAGCAGGCTCCACACAGGGAGCCTGATGTGGGACTCGATCCTGGGTCTCCAGGATTAGGCCCTGGGCTGAAGGCGGCGCGAAACTGCTGAGCCACCCAGGCTGCCCAGTCTCTAAGTTTTTACTGGGGGAAATCAGAAACAAACAATGGAGAAACAGTAGAAAATTCTGTATGAATTGACTTTATATTCTAATGCTTCAGTTATATGTAATGTTCTCATTATCTTTTTATCTTATTCAAAAGGCTTCTTTTTCTATCTGATTTTTAGACATTCGACCCATTCAAACAGTGAGCATCCTGGGTGATCTTAAATGAGCTCACAGGGTGAGGCCAAAGTTGATAGATGCTGTTAATGTCTGTACTTCATCTTCTTTTCCCCAGCTCCATAGCAACACCTGGCACAGAATGCCCTGGGTAGACACAGTCATCTGGGAAGGGAGCTTGATGCCCCTTCCTCCAACTGCCATAAGGCTCTTCCACAGTAATGACTATTGTTTCCCTATTGGCAGCATATTATATTTCAACATCTCAAAAAAATTAATAAATAATTATCTAACAGAAGACAACCATAAAGGGAGGTGGTGATATGCCTTGTCATTGGTTACAAATCAACTCTGAGGCAAGATGGAGCTTGCGTCGCTGGACTTCCAAGTTCCTGCTGATGAGCCAACCCCTCTTAATCACCACTGGCCACATCAGTACATACCCACATTTGGAATATATGTGAAAAGATATGATGTGCTTTAATACATTAGCACATCCAGTGGTCAAGTGTATTAGTATTAGCAAAAGTAAAGTGGATTTGTGATTTTAAATTTAAATCAGCTTAAATGACGTAAGAAAACAATGTAAAGTACTGGAGAACAATGAAAATTGATACTGGTTTCACTATTTAAAAAAAGGAAATTCTGCAAAATGTAATTAGTAGTGATTCTGAGCAGTCACTGCCTCAAGTGGGCTGATGCTTGCCATCACCTATCCTAGATGACTTAAGGTCTGAGCTGTAACCTGAATGACTCAAGACACTGACATTAGGACCCACCATATTCAGGTCCCTTTGCCCAGCACTTTGCATCCATTGTCTCATTTACTATTCATACATGAGCTCATTTGGTTCTCACAGCAATCTTATAGATGAGGAACGTAAAAAAGCTCAACAAGGTTAGGTAATTTGCCCAAAGGCAAGGTAACTTGTTTGGTAAATGAGAGAGTGGAGACAAACCAATTCTGTCTAAAGCCTAAGCACTGTAACATCAGGCTGTTTCCTTAGGTGGTTGTTTAAAAAAAAAAAGAGAGAGAGAACAAAAACATTTACTGGGCCTTATGCAAGGTAAGCCGTGTTTCTCAGGGAGAAGCTAATGAAACACATAGTGATCAAAGTTCTCTTTCAAAAAAGGCAACAAGGGCGGGGGGGTGGGGGTGAATGGGTGACGGGCACTGAGGGGGACACTTGACGGGATGAGTACTGGGTGTTATTCTGTATGTTGGTAAATTGAACACCAATAAAAATTAATTTAATAAAAAAACAACAAAAACAAAACAAAAACAAAAAAGGCAACAAAAGGTAGCTTGCACTAAAGAAACAAATATCCTGAAAAGCCATCAGTAGGAATAAAATAAAAATTCCAACTTTTCCAGGTTGGATCTGACATTTAAAATTTACCCCTCCATACTTAAAAGTTTTTCCTTTTGTGCTTTTTATTTAGGTAGGGTTGCATACTACTGCTACTATATACACAAGAAAAACAGTTTACAAAAGCTGTAACTAAGATATAGGATTCACTGAAACTGCACACAAGGAAATGATCACACTTAGCTATATAGAGAGACTGGGGTCAGGGGCACAACCATGATTTCTGCCACCTGAGGACAGCATGTGTGATTGATATTAATACTTTACAGGGAAGCCTGGGGAGATAATCACTTCCTAGAGAGAGCCCGCTGTAGCAGAGAATTTTGACCAATCCACCAATCAGAGAACAGGTTTCTACAATGAGCTTACTTTGAAACTTGTTTTTATCTGTTGCTATATGAAGCTTGGAGAGAGGCCTCCTGAGAAACTACTGTTCCTCAAAATCAAATTCCCACCTATTCAATTTAAAAAATATTTTATTTATTTATTTGAGATACAGAGTGAATGAGAGAGAGAAGGCATTAACAGGAGGAGGGACAGAGGAAGAATGAGAAGCAGACTCTCTGCCAAGTGGGGAGCCTGATGCAGGGCTTGATCCCAGGATCCTGGGATTACAACCCAAGCCAAAGGCAGATGCCTTGGGACACCAGGTTGCTCAGTGGTTGAGTGTCTGTCTTCAGCTCAGGTTGTGATCCTGGTGTCCTGGAATCGAGTCCCACATGGGTCTCCCTGAGAGGAGCCTGCTTCTCCCTCTATGTCTTTGCTTCTCTCTCTGTCTCGCATGAATAAATAAATAAAATCTTAAAACAAAAACAAAAAAAGGCAGATGCCTCACAAATGAGCACCCAGGTACCCCTCACCTATTCATTTTGATCACGGAGCCAGAGAGATATAGAACACAGACTGAGACTTGTGGATTCTGGGAATATTTTGGGCAATCAGAGTCCAGTGTTGTGATTTAGGCTGCTGGGCCACTGGGCCCAAAAAATGGCCTTTGCCCAAGCAACACACATGCACTCTAACGCTTGTCTGGGCTACTTTTACTCCTATAACAGGCGTTTGCTATATTTATAGGTATCTCGTGTGTGTATAGCACTGGACCAAGCACTGTGTAAGAAATAAAAAGGGAGAAGGAACATTTTTTGAGCATCTACTATGTACCAAGCATCATGTAGCTGACATTTTCACATGAACTTACTGCCTACAATAATACAGTAAAGAAGGTAACATTACTCCTGCTCTATAGATAAAACAGACTTGAGGATAATAAGTGATTTGTCTAAGTTAGCAGGGCTGAGATTTAGAAATTGGTATGTTGGGATGCCTGGGTGGCTCAGTGGTTGGGCGCCTGCCTTTGGCTCAGGTCGTGATCCCAGGATCCAGGATCAAGTCCCACATCAGGCTCCCTGCGTGGAGCCTGCTTCTCCCTCTGCCTGTGTCTCTGCCTCTCTCAGTCTGTGTCTCTATGAATACATAAATAAATCTTAAAAAAAAAAAGAAATTGGTATGTCTAACTCCAAAGTCCACCATGTTCTTTCCGTTTTACCATGTTGCTTTTCAAAAATGTTACCATCTTACAAGAACTTGAAATCAGCTTCCAGAATTGAAGTAAGCAAAATCTATGTATGAGGCTGTAGTATGCAGTCATATGGTAGTGGTGATGGCAGTGAAGAGGACAAAGATCCATGTTCCTTGACTACAAGGGGAAAATCAAGAAGATCCAGAATAGACAGTGGAATAAGAATGGCTTTA